TCATATTGAATTTAAGGGAAATGGAAAAGACATTGGTAAAATAATTCACTCCTTTGAATTCTTGAATCTGAAAAGCCTCAGATTAAAAGGAGTATCATAATGTCATATATACCAACTCCTATCTCCACATAGTCCTATACATTTAAAAAGGTAAGAGAGTTTACTTTTTCTCTTTGTGTGTGTGTGTTTTTTAAATAGAAAAGGGTTTTTATATGGTCAAACTTTTTTTTTCATCTGTTGATTTCATCTGTTGATTTCCATTATATGATTTGCTATTTTGTTTTCCTAATACTGAACCAAACTTTTCTTCCTGGTATAGATACAGTCTGGTTGAAGTGCCTCATCTTTGTGAAGTAGCTTATTTGCTAATATTTTGTTTTAAAATTTTACATTAGTAAGAAATATTTATCTTACTTTTCTTTGTTCTGATTATCATTTAGGTCATATTTGTAGAATAGGGGAATTATATAGAACCTAATTTTCCCACTTTTTTTTTCAAATAGTTTGTCTAGGCTTAGAGTTCTTTGAATATGAGGCAGAATTGCCTTGTAAATCCATTTGGGCCCAGTATTTTCTTTTTCAATTAATTTATACCAAGTTTGGTTCCTTTTTCTTAACTGTGTCATATAAATCTATACTGTTAATCTGAATATTTTGTATGTTTGTTAACATTCATTTCATTTAAGTTGTTTATTTTATTAGAAAATAATTGACTAAAACAATGTAATTATTTCTTTTGTTGTCAATGCTCCTTTTAAATTTTTGGTGCTGGTAATTTGGCTTTCCATTTTTTTAATTTTTAAAAAATTTTATTAATTTATTTTGATTTATCAATAATCAATTCCATATGCTTTTGAGTTTAAAATTTTTCTCCCCTTTCCTCTCCACCACCTTCCCCAAGATGGCACCCAATCTGATGTAGGCTATACATTTACATTCCTATTAAACATATTTTCACATTGGTGGTGTTGTAAGTAAAAATTAAAACCAATAGGAGGAACCATCAGAAAGAGGAAACAAAACTTAGCATAAGAGAAAAAATAGCAATTCAATTTTTATAGTTCTTTCTTTGGATGTGGATAGCATTTTCCATCCCAAGGCCTCTGGAGATGTCTTAGATCCTTGTATTGCTGGGAAAGGTTAAGTTTATCAATATTAGTCATTGCACAATGTGGCTGTTATTGTGTACAATATTCTCTTGGTTCTGCTCACTTCACTTAGCATCAGACCATACAAGTCTTTCCAAGTTTTTCTGAAGTCAGCCTGTTCATCATTTCTTATACCTCAATAGTATTCCATTGCATTCATATACCACAACTTGCTCAGTCATTCCCCAATTGATGGGCATCCTTTCAATTTCCAATTATTTGTTTGGCTTTCCATTTTAATCAAATTAGGTAATTGTATATCTATTGATTAAAAATAGATTATAATTTCATCTATAATTCATCTTTTTTCAATTTTCCATTTTCTTAATAACTGCTTTGATTTTTCAGGATTTCTATTTTGATGTTTAATTAGATTTTTTGAATTTGTCATTTCTAGATTTTTTTTTTAAATTTAAATTCATTGATCTATCTTCCCATTTCTTCCTCTACAAGAGCTGTCTTCATCTCTCCCTCTCTGTCTTTCTGTCTCTCTCACTCTCACTCTGTCTCTCTCATTCTGTTTCCTTCTCTCACTCTGTTTCTCTGTCCCACTGTTTCTCTCTCACTCTCTGTCTTCCTGTCTATGTGTGTGCATGTGCGTGTGTGTGTGTGTGTGTGTGTGTGTGTGTGTGTGTGTGCGTGTGTCTGTATCTGTGTGTCTCTGTCTCATTCTTTCTGTCTCATTCTCTTTCTGTCTCAGTCTCCGGCTCTGGCTCAGTCTCTGGCTCTGTCTCACTCCATCTCTCTGTCTCGCTCTGTCTCTCTGTGTCGCTCTGTGTGTATGTGTGTGTGTGTGTGTGTGTGTGTGTGTGTCTGTCTGTCTGTGTCCGTTTCCCTTTCTGTCTCCCCTGCCTCTGTCTCTTTAACTCTTTTTCCCACCACTTTTCCTAAGTGTTTATTTGGTTACATCCCCACCTGCCAAGATGAACTGATTTCTTGTTTGGTTGGCATTATCATCAATGAAATTGCATATCACTTTTTTACTTGCTTTACGATTTATCACTTATTCATGATTAAGTTATTTAGACACTAGCTAATAATCAAAAGCCATCTGTTAAATATACTTCTTATTGCAATGTAGTCAGTATAGGACCTGTTTAATATTATCACTTTTGTGATAAAATGTGATGGCATTTGTTGGGTACTCTAGCTTTTTAAAATTTTGCTCAAGCATGATAGATCTTGCTCGCTTTTATTTTGTCTTTGTGTGAGTCTTTACGGTTCAAGTGTGTTTGTTATAAACAAATATCATTGGATATTACATTCTAATACGTTTTGATTTTTTTTCTTACACTTGATAAGTGAGTTCATCTCATTCACATATATAGATATAATCATTAGTTGCAAATTTCTCTTTATCATATTCTCTTACTCCTTTTTCTCTATTTGCTCCTTGCTCCCACATTCTGCCCCCTTTCTTTCCTAGCACATCTTGGTAATCCCTGATGATATTAGAATACTGAGAAGATCTCTTTCCCTTCTCTCATGATGGCGGACAAAAACCTCCCAAAGGAACCAAAGGAAAAGAAGGTTCGAAAGGAAAAAAAGGAGAAAAACAAGAAGGAAGATGTGGCTGAAAAGGTGATGAAAAAGCCCCGAAAGCACTGCAGTCAGAACCCAGTCTTGGCCCGAGGTCGATACTCTAGGTCTGCAATGTAGTCCAGGAGAGCCATGTACAAGCAGAAATACACTGCACCAAAAACCCAGATTGAAAGGAAAAAGAAAGTGAAGGTGCCTGCTACTATCTCAAAGCCAGTTGGTAGTGATAAGAATGTAGGAACTCGTGTGGTAAAGATTCGCAAGACGCCGAGGTATTACCCTACGGAGGATGTGCCTAGAAAGCTGCTAAGTCATGGCAAAAAGCCCTTCAGACAGCACGTGAGGAGACTTTGATCTAGCATCACGCCAGGCACGGTTCTGATCATGCTCACTGGCAGCCACAGGGGCAAGCGTGTGGTTTTCCTGAAGCAGCTGACTAGTGGCTTGCTACTGGTGACTGGATCTCTGACCATCAACCGTGTTCCTCTAAGAAGGACCCATCAGAAATGTGTCATTGCCACCTCTACCAGGGTTAATCTTTCAGGTGTAAAAATTCCAAATCATCTTACCAATGCTTACTTCAAGAAGAGGTTCCGTTAACCTAGACACCAAGAAAGAGAGATTTTTGACACAGAAAAAGAGAAGTATGAGATTATGGAGCAGCGCAAGGCTGATCAGAAAACAGTGGACTCTCAGATCCTGCCCCAAATCAAGAAGATTCCTCAGCTCCATGGCTACCTGTGCTCTGTATTCTCTCTCTCCAATGGAGTTTATCCTCACAAACTGGTGTTTTAAATACCTTGCACGGAACTCACATTAAAATATTTGGAATCACTAAAAAAAAAAATTGAGAAGATACTTAGATCTCCTTATCCTCCATTAGAATGGGAAAACTCCATCCTAATATAGTCCCTTCTGATTGCTTGCTTTTATGTACCCTTTTGTATTTCTCTTTTCATGTGTATTCATATTTCAAAGTTATTGATAATTTATGGCCTTTTCATCAAGAATGCTTGAATATCCTCTATTTCATTAAAAATTCAATTACCTCGTTAGTATTCAAGATCCAGTTTTGTTGGATAAGTTATTCTCAGCTATAAGCCAACATCTTTTTGCCTTTTGGGGATATCATAGTCTATGTTCTCGAATCCTTTGTAGGCATTTTGTATTCATATTTCTGAGTAAATGTTTTCCCCCAACATAAACTAAGATCCTCTTAGTTTTATCTTTATATTGGCCATGCCAGGCACAGAATAGGTCCTTGATGTATATATTTTTAAAGTTAGTCAATGAATAAATCAGATTTGTTTTTATACCTTTGCTTTAGGCAAGAGGGTTAGTATAACATGATATTTTTTAATGATATTAGTATAACTATGGCCATTTTAAGAGATTTGAGACAAATAAATGACTTCAGAAATCAGGCAAATGTTGATAACTCAAAGTATTTCATGTTGTATATCTATTTGGTGGCAAAGTGAGGTGAAGAAAGGCCTAGTCTGGGGCAAGATAAAGTGAAAACTTACCTTTTGGAACCCAGGACTCCTAAGGATGAAATCTAAGATCACTGTCAAGGGGAAGCTGGGTATAATGGCTGGAATATTTGTGACCTCCATCTTGTGAACATGTTTGGGAAGGATGTACTCATCTGTCTAAAGCTAATCACATAGCTAAAATATTCTCCATGAAGTTAGGTTATTTACTTCTCAATTCTGAATTAATTGCACTAAAACCATCAAAATTATCTGCTTTTCCCTTAAATATTTCCTGAGAAATTTATGCCATCCTATATTTCCTTAGAGAATGTATTTTATTGTCCCAAAGTCTTACAGACTTTAATAATTATACATTTGTATTCAGGTTATTCTGATACCCTTCTTTGTTTATCCACATGATTAAACTAAGAAGATTTATTTTAGAATATCTTTGTGGAGGATAGGAATGGAAACACTGACCTATTATTTCATGGCTGGATAAAATAACCAGAGAAGTAGCTCACTTTACCAATGCACGTAAGTACCTGTTTTGCAATTTGTCACCTTAGTTACCTGGGGAAGTGAGAGTTTAAGTGACATACCCAGGAGTATTCAGCCAATATGTATTGCTGGTAAGATACAAAACTTGGTCTTCCTGACTTCAAGGCCATCTCTGTGTGCACTACATACACATACTACCGGCTCCATTGTTGAAATATACAATTCAATTAAGATTCAAATAGCACAGAGTTGGTACCAATCCTTCCATTCAGAATCATGACATTTAGACTTGACTTTTTTTCCTCAGGTTTATAACCATTTTTTTCCTTTCTTCTAGGCAAGGGTGAACATGGGAAACCTTATCCTCTCACTGAAGAAGACCGTGATGATTCAGCTTACAGAGAAAATGGCTTCAATATTTTTGTGAGCAACAACATTGCTTTGGAGAGATCACTGCCAGATATTCGTCATGTTAAGTATGTAACAACACACCTTACACCCAATAAGGTTATCTTTAGAAATGTATCTCATTCTAGAAACTCTGATCCTATTAAACTTTGTTTTAGTAATTTATCGATGTGTATCAGGGAGCAGGGAAGATGTTGGTCTTTAAAATACTGAGGATTAAATTTTTAAAAATATGTAAATTCAATACAGTTAATTTCAGAATATATAAAGTTTGATTTAGTGGAATGTTTCTTGTATGAGATAACTATTCCCTCTGATTTTAAAAATAATAAATTCCTAGATTGTACTCCTTGAACTTTTGAATATTATCTCACATTTGAAAGCTAGCCTTTCATAGAGTCATTAGTTGAGATCTAGAAAGTACTTCAGAGTTCATTTTGTGCATCTCCCTCAATTTTTACAAATTAGGAAACTGTGGCCTATAACTTGAATTCTTCTTAGTCCTGTGACTTGAAAGCTTGGATCCTCTGAAGTCTCAGTTCAACTGATGCCTCCTCTCAGTAGCCTTCTGTATTTATCCAGTATTTAAATCATTTGTTCAGGATCACATAAATAGTATGTATCAAAGACAGACTTTGAATTCAGTCTTAATAGCATTGTACAGTGAAAAGAGCAAAGGCAGTGATATGTAGAAGGATTTAGGATTTATAAGCACTTTTGCTACTATAAAAGAAATGAGGAACCAAATCTATTGGTTATATTGTAGGAGGCAGCATTGTGTTGTAGAAAGAGCACTGTCCTGAAACAGGGTTTGAAACCCAGAAGACTTGGGTTCAAATCCTGTCTCTAACGCTGTCTTTGTGACCTCTATCAACCTGCATCTTCCTCACTTGTAAAATTAAGGCATTGGATGACAAGACCTTTAAGGCTGTTTCCAGATTCACCTATGGTCCTATGAATGCCATCAGAATTGCTGGAAGCAACTAGTTGTCCTACAAAACCTACATTATTATGTTTTCTTTTTTTTTTTCTTTATGAAAACTGCTCCTGGTTATATGCTGAATCCTTAGCAATAAAAAAAAAACAGAATGCGATATACACCTTCTTGAAAGGCCACTCTTTTTTTAAATATTTATATTCCTTGCATTATTTTTAAAACATCTATTAATTGCATCAAATAATGTCTCATCTCAGATGGGCTTTAGTAAGATAGCTAAAGAAAATGAAGTTCTGAGTATCTGTGTTTTTTTTTTATTTTTAACTCAGAAATTTCAAGATTTAACTAAATGTAACAAATGCTCCAGCATAATCCATTGGTATTACATAGAGTGGGCTGTGAAAAAATAATGTCCATGGCATTTCTGGCCTACTGAGAATCAATCAACAAACATTTATTAAGCACCTACTATGTGTCAGAAACTATGCTAAGCACTGGAACAAAAGACAGTCTCTACCCTTAAGGATCTCACAATCTAATGAAGATGAAGATTAGATGAAGACTTGAGTCTGCTCAATTATAAAAATAGAGAAAAGGTGGCTAAATAGCATTTTGTAGCCGAAGATGGAAGCAAGTCTGTAAGGCCAGTATGAGTTACCAATAAGAGAGATGTATTGTGGGGGTGGGAAAACTAAAGCAAACTATTGCTCTATTGGCATGTTGAGAGTAATGGCCTTACCATAGTCCCAAAGTGAAACTCTCTATCTCTACCTTCAGTCCTATTCCAGTCTGCCTTTTCTAGAGTTTTGGTTCATCATTCAGGTGTCTTGACTTTTTCAGTTCTCTCACTTTTGACTAGATCCTTTCCCTCAAAAACAAATATAGCTGTTTCCTTTACCGTCAAAAAACAAAAACCTTCCTACAACTCTTCTACCCCTTCAAACGAAGATAATATCCCTTCCCCCTTCACTTTCATTTGGCAGTCTCAATATATATCTTTTAAATTTATTTTCTCATCAAGAACTCAGAAACAAACAAAAAAAACCCCTTTAGACTTAAAATTATAAGGTTTAAGAGTATTTCAGAGACCATAAAATCCAACCTGTACCTGAACAAAAAACTCTTGATGAGTGATTACCCAATATTTACTTGAAAACTTCCTATGGGATAGAACTCATTACCCCCTAAGATAGTTTGTTTCAATTTTAAACAGCTCTAATTATTTTTAAGGGTTTTTTTTCCCCCTTCATTATCTCAGTTGATCAAGGATTTCATCAATGGAGGTACCTACACCTGTCCTTCATATCATAACTAATCTATGCCTTTTCATCATTCAATGAAACGTGTCCATTTGCTTCCATAAATCTTCCCCAAGAAGACTACATAATGCTGTAAAGACTTTCCTTTAGGTCTCTTAGTATTTCTTGGATGCTACATCTGCTCTCTGTTTGGTACTCATTTCTCACTACCTAACTAAGCCACAGATATCTTCAGCCAGGTATCTCTTCAATAACATGTGTGTCTTACATACAAATCATCATAAATAATATGATACAATCTTTGTGTATACATTGAAAATACAAAAGTTACTTAAAGTTAAATGGAAAGCTCCTTCATAGGCTCTCCTATGAAAGCTAAATAGACATTATTACTTTAGGTATTTTCATGTCTCCAAAGGCAACATGAAACCTCATTTTGTGAAGCATATAGTTATCCTATATTCCCATGTTCATTATAAACACTGGTTTAAAAAAATACCATTAAAGTAATCATTGTATTAGGTAGCATAGTAGATAGATAATTTTGTCTAGAGGCAGTAAAACTTGAATTCAAATATGACATCAAACACTCATTAAATGTATGACCCTGAACAAGTCACTTCAGTGCTGTCTTCCTCAGTTTCCTCAACTGATAATAATAGTGCTTACCTCACTAGATTAAAAGAAAAAAAAAGCCATCAAGTGAAAACAAACAAACATGAAAGTAATTATTGTGCTAGCTAGCACAGTGGATCAAAAAATTTGCCTGGAGCCAGAAGCAGGTGGATTAGATGAAATCAAAATTGCATGAAGATCCGTGCTTGATGAAATCCAATTGTGAGGCCATTAAAGAATTTGTATTAATTCTATGTGAAGGAAGGAAAGCTATCAAAGGTATGGAAAAATCTTGTACCATGTTATCTAGAAAAGACAAGTGAGGGAATATTAGAAATCAATGACTTATAAAGCCTGTATAAAAATTTACAAGAAAAATGTACACATTCAGGTAATGCTTGATGAAGATATAAAAAGGGATCTGGCATACGGCAAACTATGTCTTTACAATCGCACAATTTTCTTAAAGATATTTTTAAGCTGATTTTTTTTAAAAAAGGCATTATGTTCATAAAAGAAGGCTCTCTATCCACAAACTGTTCTTCTGTGCATATGGAAAATGGTACAAGATTTCTTGAAAGATATGTGCCTAAGAAGATGACTTTTGGATGCCTAAGGTAATAGCTATAGTCATAGAAACTTTCATGTGCAGATTCAGAAGAATTCCCAACAGATTGTTAGGACCTGAAGGTATGTCTCAATGTAGATGATATTATGTAATGGCATCAAGCTTCTGAACATTGAAGTGCCTCTTAAGCAAAATTCATAATCAATAAGAGGCTTCAGTGTACATATCCACAAAGGAAAAACTAAGTATTCAACAGGAAACAGAATGTCTTTGTCTAGATTGTGATACTCAAATGAAAAGATAATTGATAAACTTGGTACACCTGCAACTCAACCGGTATATGGACAATGAATTGGGTCTCAAAATGAATGGAGGAGGGCAGTGGGTTGGATTGTACCTGAGAAATGATACAATCATTTTAATGACTCCAGGATTCTTCCAGAACACAAAAGACATTTTACTTACCCTATTCTTCTGACGATACAGTTCGGCTCTCAATCATAGTGTACCACAATCTCCTAAGAATTAAAGTTGAGTATAAAATAAAGAAAATGGTATGAGCAAGAATAAACATGTTACAAGTGAGAAATTGTGCAAAGGAAATGGCATACAGGATGTGATCTGAGACATATGAGAGGGAAAAAAAAAGTTTAGTTGAAATGGTATCAAGAATGATGGATGACAGCGATCCTCTCCATGTCATGTCAAGATACTCAAGGTGGGTGAACTGTCTGTGGATGATTGATGGGAAGGATTGAACAAAATTTACACAGAATAAGCATCTTGAATGAGTTGTAATCTGTATCATTAAAAGGTCTTCCTACATAGATGAGATCTTTGATCTATCAAAAGCAATTGAAATGTATCCCTTTGTGACGTCATTGCTCCCTAGTTCTAATCTCTGGAGACAAGCAGAATAAGTTAAATTTCTTCTGCTTGTTAGAACTTCAAAACATTGAAGGTTATTATTAATTATGTATTATCACATAATGCCTTACCTCTAACCACGTTAAAGTGTTTTTTTTTTCCCCTGGCTAAATATATTTGGTTCCTTCAAACAATAGTTTTATGCAATGTCCTCTATTCTTTTACAATCTTGCATTGTGTCTTCTGGATGCTTTTCACCTTGATTATAGTCTTCCTGAAATATGGCTCTTCATGCAATTTGCTTCATCCTTACTACTGTGCTGAAACTATTCTTTGCAAAAAGATACCTTATTAGCAAATAACATGGCTTTTTTCTGTCCTCATTCTTCATTAATTCTCTGCAGCATTTGCTGTGGAAAGCCATACTCTTCTTGATATATTTACCTCACTTGATTTTGTCAGAGTTTTCCTTTTTTTTCTTCCAAATTACCTTTATATGTCTCCATTGCTGGCTCTTTATTATCCTTCTGCCCTATAAACATAGATATCTTCCAAGATCTTTTCCTTGACCTTTTTATCTTCTTTTTATGATAATATTAAGATTACAGGTTTATAGCTAAAATATTTCGGTCAGAGACACTGAGCCCCAGAGAAATTGTTATTTTTTTCAAAGGTCACAGATGTAGGAGGTAGAAAAGCTGGGATATGAATTCAAATCCTGTGACTCCAAGATCAAAGCTCATTTCAGTAAACCATGCTGCCTCCATATTGTCTTCAATTTTCATGATTTCCAATATCCAATTAGTAGATTTGGTGTTGCTG